TAGAAGAGCACAATAGCATAGTACTAAAGTGGCACTGGTAAAACGTACACAAAAATAAATCTCTCTCATCACCAATATTTAAAGAGTTTAGTCACATGCATACAGAGAATTTAGAATATGAATATATGTTATATCCAAGAAAAATAATATCCAATATATTGGCAAGATACCTGCTGCCTAAGACTTCTGAAGGTTTATCCTCAACCACTTCATGGCCAGACATTTCCCCGACCTCACTTTTTTCTGCATTTTCTTCTTTTTCTGCTTCCACGGATGAGTTAGGCAGATTTTCTTCCGGCTGAGAAAACCATATAATAGAATGAATAATAGCTGCAGTTTGCTGGAAGAACTAGTTCATTTTGCTCTCAAACAAAAGTGTCTAATTATATGATGAGTCGTGCAAGAAAACTTTCAAATATGAAATCTGTGTTAATCCAAATTATTGGACAGTGATCAATGTTAAAGTAGCATAAGCTTAAATCATCATTGCACTGAGGAAATTATAATTTGTGATACTTAAATCATCGTTGCACCGGGGAAATAATAAAGTTCTGAAGAGCACGTTTATTAAATGTTGCATGCCGACAAACCTGTAGTAGCATTTAAGTACAGGTTTACCATATCTAGTTGAGCTTAAACGTCAGTCTTATGGTAGTTAAAATCGGAAAGGAATCTCACAAAGGAGAATATCACATCCATAACTAGATAAACAAGAATATAAAGTATATGCTGCTTCAAATTTGGTAATAGTCACATATTGCACAATTGACAACTTTCTATAATGAATGCTTATTATCTAATAGACAATTACTACATCAGCCAAATAACATTTGATACACCTATTACTGACCATGAGTCCTAACTGATCAGTTTGGGCGATTTCATCAGATCCAAAATAAGATTACAAAGTACAGGAAGAAGGAGCAGGCATAGCACTATAATGCACACACAATTTACCACATCAAATCTTATGATAGGTGGATAGAACTCACCGGTAATGGACTTTCACCTTCATTGGACACCGATATGAGGTTGTGATTAACTTCCTCATCAAGAATTGATTCAGCCTCCAGCATAGGAGAATGAGGCATTACTTCAGTCACATTAGCATCATCACTATCTTTGAAGGTACCATTTTGGGAAGCCTGATCCTCAGTATCTGCAGAGAAAGTAGTCACCTCGGTTTGATCATCATTCTCCAAATTAAGGACTTGGGCACTCTGGTCTTCAGCATCCATAGACAAATGAATCTTTGGACTAATTTCGTCAATAACAGTTTCAGTATTCCCCAGATTAATTTCCTCACTAACACTCTCCGTGGGCTCTTCCATTATAGGATCAACATTTTCAGATATTTGTTCTATCTGTTGGACATTTTCACTATCAATGTCCACTGCCTGAACTTCAGTTGAAGCAGCGCCGTTTTCCATCAAGCCAATTGAATCAACACCGCGATCCTTGTCACCGCCATTCTCTGTCAATTGACTTGAAATTTCTCCGTCAGATTCTTTAATCTCCTCAGCGTTTACCGAGTCAGAATATTCAGGCATTACTGCAGCTGAACCTAAAAGAGGTGACACGTCATCATCCAATTCTTCAAATGATTGCTCCTCACTTGATTGAGCCTTCATTTCTTCCTCAACTTCCAAAGAAGGAAAGGAATTCTCTGGTGGTGGAATTGAAGCTTCACTATCATCTTTCTTTTGCAAAATCTCCTCAAATTCTTGAAATGATTCCTCAGTTGATTGACCCTTCATTTCTTCTTCAACTTCCAAAGAGGGAAAACTATTCTCTGTTGGTGGAATTGAAGCTTCAGTATCATCTTGCTTTTCCAAAATCTCTTCAACAAGTCCAGCATTCTCAATATGGACTTCAGCTACAGATTGATCTTGAATTCCTACAGGGGAAATTAAACCAATTTCATCCGTGGATTCTTCGACTAAATTTGTACTCAATCCAGTTTCTCTTTCTACAAAATCACTCCTTGGATTGTTAGATACTACTGATTCAGAAACTCCAGCATCAATAGCAGCAGTCACAGCCTGACTACTGGCTTCTCTCTCTACATTCTTGACAATGACTTCTCTCTCATTATCAGAATCCATAACTTTCACCACACTAAATTCCTCCTCCTCACTATCCCTTTCCACCTCTTCAACCCCCAAAAGGGGTTCCTCCAATTCATCCTCGTTTGCAAGCTCACTTGGGTCCCCGAACCGAAACAGTAGACTTCCATCCGAATGCTCTGCCAGAACAAAACATCAAAACCCCACAAGTTTGAAAAAGCAATAAACCTCAAATGTAACACAAAGAACTTATCTTTATCAAAAAATAATGTATAAGAATAAAAGGTTAGGAAGGATTATAGGTAAATAAACATACCATGGGTGGCGATGACATCAAGATTTGTAGAAGTGGGTATGGAGCAGAAAGCAATATGAAGAGGTTTTGTTCTTCTCCTTCTTCTGACTAGAGTTGGGTTGTGAAGGGAAACAAGTCGGAATGACTTTTGAGTAGAAAAGTAGGTGGCGAAGAATTGAGAACCTGTTATAGAGCGAGAGTCAAAGAACTTGCACAGAGGATCAGCCATAACTACGAGATCAAATGCTCTTACATCTAAGACTATTTTAGTTGAAGAGAGGAGTTGTTTTTTGTGGACAGAGGCTGATGTCTTTTCTTGGGACAGATGATGATCGTTATTTTCTGTTTCTGTTTTTACCCGGGAAATACCCTTGGGCTTCCTTAGAAACTCTCAAATAGATTCTCAGTTGCTATATGGGCCGCATACCCAAAGGAGACCTTTGCTATTGCTTTGTGCTAAATTGTAAAGTATCTCTTTCTTTTCTTTCATCCATTTTTGGTACAATCATCTTCATAGAATTTACTAGGAGTATATTTTAGTGAGTATGTTTAACTTACACACAGTGATAATATAAAGAATTTTTACATTATTCGGTCACTTGTAATCTGTCTTAATTTCAAGATTACAAATTCTCGTTTTATGAAGGATTACATGCCAATGTTTTTTTGGTGAAATTCTATGTTATATAAGTTAAGCTCTATTTTTGGGCGGATCCACATTTGATGTTACACATTTGATTAGTATTCACCGACATTCTTTCGGAAATATGAATATTAAGTCAAATTCAGCCAACTTGGGATTGAAGTGTTGTAGTTGTGAAATATTCTTTAAAGAAAATAATATACAAGTAAAAGTGAGGAGTATATAACCACATCCTTTTCTCTCAGAGTATTACTAGCACTTAATTGAGTTGCCCCAAGAGTTTCTAAGTGGTAAGTTCACGGGTTGCATTTTGTAAGTGTCGTCATGAGTAATGTTACTATGTGTAGAGACGCTAATTATGAAAACTATGGCTGTTATTCACAAATTTAAAGTACTAGCAATTAATAACCATATTCAACTTTCACATTAGCTAAAGAATTAAGTAGAAGCTGATGTTCAATATCTTATAATCAACACTAACTTCTGAACAACATTTGTCGCCACAAACAAGAAGGAGATTATATGTTGTCCAGGCATTTGAGAGGTTGGAAAGAGGGGCGTTGCAGACCATGTAGAGGCATATACAACAGGGAATAGCAACTAAGACAAAGAATCAAAACTAAAGGAGAAGAGGTGTCCACGTGGATGGTACAAAAAATGGACATAGAGATGTAACTCAAGACCTCATTGGTCAGAAATCTATCCACCAGAGATCTCTGATTTCATCTGCAGATTTCATCCATCCTACTTGGCTCCTTTCAACGTCCCCTTTTGATCTCATACTCTTATAACCAGGAATCTCACTTCTTTCTTCCAAAGTAGAAACAACCATCAACAACATTGCATTGTAGCTTACTACTGTCATTCTATTCTACACATATAAAATAAGCATGGCTACAACATCTGCTGCATTGCTGAATGGCTTGAGCTCCTCTTTCTTGACTGGTGGCAAGAAAAGTCAGGCCTTGTTGGGTGCTCCAGTTGCCGCCAGAGTTGGTGGTGTTGCCACTCCCAAGAGGTTCATTGTGGTGGCTGCTGCTCCTAAGAAATCTTGGATTCCTGGTGTTAAAGGTGGTGGCAATTTCGTTGACCCCGAGTGGCTTGATGGCTCGTAAGTTCACCATATATCTCCGACCGTCAACCCCCATCCCCTAGAGACAGAATCTAGGATTTAAAATTAGTGCGTTCAGAACATGTATATATACTTTGAGTAGAAAGCTTGAACCCTGAATTTGCTCAGATTTCATCTCCGCTAATTCCTCACC